CACCATGTTGGTCAGGCTGGTCTCGAACTCCTGACCTCATGATCTGCCTGCCTCCGCCTCCCAAAGTGCTGGGATTACAGGCATGAGCCACTATGCCTGGCCGTGTAATGCTTTTTGATAGTTTTAAAACATTCACGACAATACAAGATATTAGGGAATGGTAAAAAGGAAAAGATATTAAAAAGTCCACGGGCTGGGGTGGGAAGGGGACTGATCGCAAATGGGTGTAGGGGATCTTTTTGGGGATGATAGAAATGTTATAAAACTGGATTGTGGTGATGGTTGCAGTGAATTGCACACTTACGATGGATGAATTTTATAATATGTAAATTATACCTCAAGAAAGCTGTTAAGGAAAATATCTTATCTCTTAGTCTATTTTTCACAAGTGCATGGGAATGATCAACATCAAATGCAGGATAGTGGTTTATGGGGGAGGGGCAGCACTGGGGAGCGAGCACAGGGGGCTTTGCATCTGCGATGCTTTATTTCTTAAAAATAAAAAAAGTTTTGAAACCCACACGGCAAAATATAGAGATGTGAAGACTTGGAAGGTATGTAGATATAGATATTTATTTTATTCTATGTATCTTTTCTATGTGCCAAGTATTTTATTACTATATTGACAATATACCTATTTGAGCCGGGCGAGGTGGCTCATGCCTGTAATCCTAGCACTTTGGGAGGCCAAGGTGGGCAGACCACCTGAGGTCAGGAGTTCGAGACCAGCCTGACCAACATAGCGAAACCCCATCTCTACTAAAAATACAAAAATTAGCTGGGCGTGGTGGTGAACGCCTGTAATCCCAGCAATCCAGAAGGCTGAGGCAGGAAAATTGCTGGAACCCGGGAGGCGGAGGCTGCAGGGAGCCGGGATTGCACCACTCCAGCCTGAGTGCCAGAATGAGACCCCGTCTCAAAAAACAATTATATATGTACCTATTTGAAAGGGCTGCTCTGATGCCTAAACTCATCTAGAGAGCCTGACCCAGTGCCCTGCTCAGGTTACTGAGCCACTGTTATTCTTGCTGCCGTAAATACTATAACCATCTTGCTCCTCTTAACATTTAAAGATGTTGAGGCCGGGCGCGGTGGCTCAAGCCTGTAATCCCAGCACTGTTGGAGGCCGAGGCGGGTGGATCACGAGGTCAAGAGATCGAGACCATCCTGGTCAACATGGTGAAACCCCGTCTCTACTAAAACTACAAAAAATTAGCTGGGCATGGTGGCGCGTGCCTGTAATCCCAGCAACTCAGGAGGCTGAGGCAGGAGAATTGCCTGAACCCAGGAGGCGGAGGTTGCGGTGAGCCGAGATCGCGCCATTGCACTCCAGCCTGGGTAACAAGAGCGAAACTCCGTCTCAAAAAAAAAAAAAAAGATGTTGAGACAGAGTCGGCCAGCATCTCCAGGCCCCTGCTGCTGAGACTAATGCTTCTGTACATCCCTCTCCAGTGTGGGAAATGGGGTGATCCAAATAAAACCCACAAATTCTACCTGGAGCTCTTCTTCCTCCCCTCAAGCCAAAGACAACCTAGCTGGGGAGGGTCTCCCAGAATGTCATCCTCAGAAGCCCCCTCTCCATTCATCCCCAAGCCCTCGGGCTTCAGTGCAGGAAAGATGCCAGCAGAGAAAGGAAGCAGTCCCCCAAACCTTCATCTCTCTGCTTCCAACAGAGGGTGGTGGTTCCAGGGAAACCCTCTCCAAACAATATTATGGATAACGGTCATCAACCTGCCAGGATCTCAGAGGCCCCTGGAGCTTCTGGCCCCGCATTCTCCAGACCTGGCCTATGGCTCTGCCCCTGGCCCCTGGATGATGGCTCTGCCTATGGGTGACTGAGGCCGACCCTGGAGAGGATACCATTCCGATCTTGGAGAAGGCACCATTTCAGATGGAGCAGGTGGCCCAGCCCTGTTAGGCAATCCTGAACTCCAGGTGCAGTTCTCCAATGACATCTAAAGCACCCATGACCTTGTCCATCACAGGCAAGTGGGTGATGAGCATGTGGTGGCCGAGGTGGCTGCAAATGGGGAAGGGGTGGTGGGAAATTAGGGGGTGTAGTAAAGGGGACTCTCAAAAACTGACTTGTGTATTCTCTGGTGTAGTGGCTGGGGTAGGATGTGTGTGATGCTGCCTCCCAGGAGGACATGCAGCAATCAATGCATGGAGACCTTTTGTGTGTCACAGTTGGGAAGAGGGATGACTAGTGGGTAGACACCAGGGATCTGCTAAACACCCTACAATCCACAGGACAGCCCTATAACAAGGAATGACCAGCCCACGATGGCAAAACTGTTGAGGCTGAGAAACTCTGCCCTTGAGGGATACAGCAGTATTTACACAGAAGCTAGAGCTTAGAGAGGCAAACCAACTAGTCCAAGGTCACACAGTAGGACCGTTCAACTCCCCAGCTGATGCTGTCTCTCCAGGGTGGCTTCAGAAAGAGGGATACCAAATGGGAGTCAAAGTCCAGGCCCGCCAATAGCTGCCTTCATGCCCGCTCTTTCCAGAGTGTGTGTGGGGCTGGGGTGGAGCTTGGGAACAGCAGTGGTGGTCGCCCGCCACAGGCATCCATTTCTGTTGGGTGCGGCCCCCCTGCCATCATGGCAGTAAAGTTCCTGTGGATGACTCGGGCTTCAGTTCAGCCCATCGCCCCTCCTCATCTGATGAACCCAGAAGGCTGGACTAGAAGGGAGAAGGCCCCTTGAATCACATGAGTGACTAAACCCACTTGCAGAAAAACAAGGTCTTGGTGAGTCCCCCCAGCATGTGACTTTGGCATGCTCCCAATCAGTGACAAGATACCTCGGGACAGGCAGGAAGGGAGCTAATGGTTAGGGAACTCCACCCCTGCCACGTGGCTGCTCCCCCAGGAAATGGACAATACCATCCCCATTACACAGATGAAAAACTGAGGCTGAGAGGCGACACAGCTACCAGCTGGGAAGCCAAGATCTGATCCCCAATCTACGTTTTAACATAGAAACTTGTCTCCTAAACAAGTTTCTATGGGGCTCCTAAAAAGTGGCTGAAAGCTTCAAAAGATGCTTCTCAAAGCTGCAAAATCTTCAAAAAACTGGCAGCGATGGAGCTGACAGAGCAGAGAATGAAAAGCTTCCAGGCTTTCACTAATGATATGAGAGATTTCCCAGTTTTTCAGAGGACTTTGCTCAAATTATGGGGGTACTGGATCTGGGAAGTGGTGTGGTCTTTTCGGCATCCAACAGACCTGGATCTACATCCCTCCTTGGCTCCTGACTGTGACCTTTGGCGTGGGACCTCACTCTGCTGAGCCCTGGTTTCCTCATCTGTCAAATGGGCTTAAGATCCTCAAGCCTGATATGGAGTGGCCAGGAAGGGTGAGTAGACCGCGATGGCCGGGCCTCAGTGGCAGTATCTATTCTCATTTTGCCAGCTCACAGACCTGGTGGGAGGTGGCATGGAGAATTCCAGACTTCCTCCTGTTGCCATGTTGGTGAAATCTGTCTTCATGCCCAAGAGGCAAACTCAGTTACGCACTAACAGGCTCAAACAAGAAACTAAGATTTGGCAGCATTTGAAAACAGTTAACAAAAAATCAAAAAAGGAAGAAAAAAAAAAAGACAATTTAGCTCAGCTCTGGAATCAAGGGAAACCTCACTCTATTTAAAGATGCCACAGGTCCAGGAAATAGCTTCCCACCGCCTGGCTAAGGGCTGAACAACTGGCTGCCCAGCCAATAACAATACAGAATCACACATCACACCGTTTCTTATGGAGAGCATGGAGTGGGTTCCCGGCTATCTCCTTTCAGAATTTCACAGGCTATTCATGGAAGGCATGTAGATCTACTGTGTAAGAATTAGTTCTTTAAAAAAAATGATTTGAAGACGACTTCCAGGGAGGTCAAGGAGCTTAATTTAGCCAGCCAACGCCCTTTTCTATTCATTGTTCTATACTTCTTTGTTAGGATTTTTTCCCTCCCTCTTACTCTTTTTCCCTTCCTGGTTAACTTCTCTGCAGCCAGGCTCAGCCACTGCCCACTTCTCACCGCCAGAGACACTATAGCCCCCTTCCTGCTGTAATGAGGCCCTCCCCAAGGCCTCATGTGGGCCCATCACCCCACATCCCCTTTATCTCCACCCAGAACCTGAAGAGGTGGTCCCAGGGCCTCCTGAATCTGCAGACGTGTCCCCTAGGTTGCTGCGGAAGCCACTTTCCACCTGCAGGTCACTGTCAGTCCCAGGCCCCCCTTCTAGAGGGAGGGAAGCCCGAATGCAGCTCTGTGTTCTAGGACCTGCAACCTCTGAGCCTCAGCCTTTTCATCTGCAGAACAACGCTACTGTCCCATTTTCTCAAGTCCTTGCCAGCTCCAAACAAGATTCCCATGTTCCAGAGGGAGATGCCAGGAGAAAACTTTCATACATTTTTTAACAGAAGTTCCTGGAGAGAGGGGGCAGGGGATGTTTTTAACCCTTTAAAGGTGCAGCCACTCAAATGATCCATGCCGAGAGATCTCCATTGCCCAGGCTGGCTCTTGCAAAAGAACGGAGTCAAACTCGGCGATCCCTAGAGGGGCTACCTGTGGCTGGGCCCTGCAGGTCTGCGCGCCTCTGGACAAGGAGTGGCAGGGCGGGCGGCCTGGGAACAGGCGCTTCTCTCTCACCCGCTTTCTGTCTCTGCCCCCTCACCGGCTGGGGCCAGACTTTTCCACTCATGAGCAGGACGGGAGTAGGGTGGGGGGCACGGAGGAGACAGAAAGGGTAGAGGAGCCGCAGAGAGGCGAGTAGGGGGGCGAGGCGGGAGGAAGGGATGGAGGAGGAGAACGCGGCAAAAGCGGGGAGGGGAGGCAGTGGGGAGGAGTCGGGAGGGACCCGGGCAGCGCCGCTGCAGGGCCGAGGGGAGAGCCGGGGAGGAGGGGACGGGAAGCGCTGGAGGCAGAAGTTTTCCGAGCCGGGGGCCCTCGGTCGCCCCCGGCGGGACGCGGGCTCGAGGGGGCGTGGGGGCCGCGCCGCACTCACATAATGCTTGTTGGGCACCCGCCGCTTCTGCACGTCCAGCACCTTCACCTCCACGATGCTGCGCCGCGGCGGCATGGCCGCTCCTCCGCCCGCCGCGGGCCGAGTGCGGGTGCGGGGGACGCGGGGTGCGGGGAGCACTGGGGGCGCGCCGCCGCGGGCCGGGAGCCTGGAGCCGAGCGCGATCGCCACCCGGACAGAGCACGAGCCGCCGCCGCCGCTGCCGCCGCCCTTCGCTCGGCGCGCACTCCAGCCCGGCCCCGCCGCCGCCGCCCGCCCCCGGCCCGCCCCCCGCACCGCCCCCCGCGCCGCCGGCCCGCCCCCCTTAAAGGGCCCGGCCCAGGCCCCCGCCCCCCGCGCGCGGACCCCGCCAGCCACGTCCGGCCCCCGCTCGGCCCCCGCCCGGCCTTTGTCCGGGTGCTGAGCCGCCGCGCCGGGGGAGGGGACGGGCCTGCACCCACCGCCCGCTCATTGACTGACGTGCGGATTCAATTCCGCAGGCTTGCTCAGGCAGCCGCCGCCACGGCCAGATTGGAGAGACGGACTCCCGGGTTCGAATCCCGGCTCTGCCGCTTTTCCACTCTGTGCCCTTAGGTGAGTTGCTTAACCTCTCTGGGCTGGGTCTCTTCATCTATAATATGGGCCTAGTAGTACTGCCTGCCAGTAAGCCATTCCGCAGTGCAGTCCATGTTAGGAGTGCTGGCAATCCTAAATCCACCCCAAGCCCTGATGATTCAGGAAGAGCAAGGGGCCAGTGACCAGGTTCGCCCAGGCTCACAGTCCGGGACATGGGGAGTGAGGGAGAGAAAAACTGCAACAAATGCACGTAGGTAAAATGTAATTGCGATGAAAGCAACAAAACGGGGTAGAAGGGTGGTGACGATGTGTGAGGGGCACCTGGGTGCTTGATAGCAAGGCCGTACGTTCTCAGTTGCAGAGCATTTACTGCTCATCAGGTGCCGCGGGCCCTGCTTTTCAGAAATGTTGTCTTTGCATCCTCAGGCCGACTCTAGGAGGAAAAGGTGGTTGACCCATTTTACAGAGGTCGCGGCAGAAGGCGGCCGCTAGAGTCGGGGAGTAGGTGGATGGAGCCCATCGCTGCCCGGCTCCAGGTGGATCTCACTCGTTGAAGCTGCCGTGGCTGGGGCAGCTCCTTGTTTCTTCATCTAGTGCCTCCTAGCACTGGCTGGGCACTGAGTCACTTTCAGAAGATGTTGGCTGAATGAATGGATAAATGAATATGTAATGCATGGACTGGAGGTTTAGGCCCCTAGCCCGTGTTCTCACAGCCAGTAAGGGGGCTCTTTTCAACAAACCGATGACTCTCCTCCATGCCACGACAGAGTTCTTCCCCACTTCGGTCCCGGATCAGCATTTGGAAGAGGGTGGGCTTATCCAGGGGAGGACTGCTCTCAGCTACCCTGGCCAGGCCACATGGATGATTTGGTGCTGATTCACTTTGGATCCGCCCCTCCATTTGCTCCTCTGACTTCCTTGCCAGACTTTACCATCCTGCCTGGGCCCCAGAGGCTGGCCTGTGTGGATTTCACTGTCCTGGTCTTCCTGTTGGGTTTGGCGGGTGGGAGGCCCTGGGAGGAGATTGAGGGCAGGAGAGAGGGAGGTCTGGGTATTTAATCCCCAAGCCCCTCCTCCCTGGTGGTTTTTACCAAAGGTGCCCTTCCTCATGTGGTCTCTCTCAGGGTTCCTGAAGCCACTTTTCTGCTCAGGACTGTGACAATCTTGCTGTTGCAAGCCCTGAGTACTGCGCCATCCTGGTCTCTCCCTTAGCCCCACCCACACCTGTATACATTGACCCTTTACTAAACTGTCTTCATGGACCCAGCTTGAGGGTGGCATCTGTTTGGTGCCAGGACCCTCACTGATAAAATTCCTGTAAGGCACATTCTTCTGAAGTACAGTTCCCAAGTCTAAGGGTCCTAAGGTCTCATTGGAAATGTCCAAAGAAGTGAAGGTCTGCTTTTCTGTCCCTGCTACCTCGTTCATTGCCTTATTAGGAGACAAGCCTTCCTAATAAAGCAAAAGCTAGAGGCCATCTGTGAATCAGCCAGCTTCCTTTTTCCAGAGAAGCAAAGAGACCTGCTTCCAGCCACACCCTGAGTGGCAGAGTATGCCCATCTCTTCTGCCCTGGCAGGCCTGGCTTGGGGAAGACAAAGTTCCCTCCACAACCACCTGCAGCAGAAGTTGCTGTCCCTGCATCTTTCCATATCTTTCCTTTGTCTTTTTGATTGTAGTAAAAAATACGTAACATAAAATTTAACAATTCAACCATTTTTAAAGCATACAGTTCAGTGGTATTAAGTACACTCATGTTGTTGTGTGACCATCACCACTATCCCTCTCCAGAACCTTTTCATCTTTGTAAACTTGAGTTCTGTCCCTATTAAGCACTGACTCTCCACCACCTTCTCCAGGCCTTGGCAACCATCATTCTTTCCATCTCTATGAATCTGACTACTCTAGGTACTTCATGTGAGTGGAATCACACAGTGGTTTTTTTTTTTTTTTTTTTTATTTTTTGTCTGGCTCATCTCACTTAGCATAATGTCCTCAAGTTTCATCCATGTTGTAGCATCTTGGAAATAGATGTTGGAAGTAGATGCTCAGTGCTGCAAATTAAAATTAGCACCTTGACAAAGGATCTTTCAGCAAGGCAATTTTCACTTCTTGGACTGCAGGAAGGGTACCCTCACTAGCCATCTTGCCGTGAGAGTACAATGAACCAAGGAAAACACACAAATTCATCCCTTATGCATTTGGGGTCGTCCTTACTGCTGTGTCTGATCTCTACTGGCTGGAGCCAGACCTCACAATGTAAACTAAAACCCGATTGGCTAACAACTTAAAACTATTCTAAACAGGTAAAAGCAGTGGAGAGTTGGGACATGCCTGTGAGCACGTCCAGCACAGATATCTTGGTTAAAGTACAAGGACATAGAATGTACTATGTACCTGTAAGCATGGCATGTCTAACGGCTACATAGGATAGGGCTTATAACAAAGTTAGCAAGAAAGGAAACTTTAAAAAGGAACTTTTCTACTTCCCACATAGCATGTATCAGAATTTTCTTCCTTTTTATGGCTGAATAATATTCCATTATACATGTATATATATATATATACATATATGGCACTTTTTCATTATCCGTCTGTCAATAGTCACTTGGGTTGTTTTCATCTTTTGGCTATTCTGAATAATGCTGCTGTGAACATTGGTATAAGAATATCTGTTCAAGTCCCTGCTTTCAATTCTTCTGTGGATATACCAAGAAATGGAATTGCTGGATTATATGGTAATTCTATGTTTAATTTTTTTCTTGAGGAGTCCCTAACTGTCTCCCACAGGGGCTGTGCCATTTTACATTTCCTCAGCAATGCACGAAGTTTCCAATTTCTCCATATCCTTGCCAACACTTGTTATTATGTGTTTTTTCTGTTTTCGTTTTTTTTTGTTTAACACAGTCTCACTCTGTCTCCCATGCTGGAGTGCAGTGGCGTAATCTCAGCTCACTGTAACCCCCGCCCCCCAAGTTCAAGCAGTTCTCCTGTCTCAGCCTCCTGAGTAGCTGGGACTATAGGCACCCACCATGCCTGGCTAATTTTTGTGTTTTTAGTAGAGATGGGGTTTCACCATATTGGTCAGGCTGGTCTTGAACTCCTGACCTCAGGTTATCTACCCACCTCAGCTTCCCAAAGTGCTGGGATTACAGCCACGAGCCACCGTGCCCAGCCTTGATTTGTTTTTTAAGAGACAGGGTCTCATTCTGTCACCCAGGCTGGAGTACAGTGATTTGATCATGGCTCACTGTGGCCTCTATCTCCTGGGCTCAAGGAATCGTCTGCTTCAGCCTCCCTGATACCTGGGACTATAAGTACCCACCACCACATCTGGCTAATTTTTAAATTTTTCTTTTGGAGAGACAGCATCTCACTATGTTGACCAGGCTGATTTTGGACTCCTGGCCTCAAGTGATTTTCCTGCCTTGGCCTCCCAAAGTGGTGGGCTTACATGTTTGAGCCACTGGGCCCGGCCTGTTTTTATTTGTTTATTCATTCCTTTGTTTTTGATAATAACTATTCTAATGGATATGAAATGGAATCTCACGGTGGTTTCGATTTACATTTCTCTAATGATTAGTGATAGTGAGCATCTTTTCATATGCCTGTCGGCCATTTGTATATCTGCTTTGGAGAAGTGCCTATCAAGTCCCCTGCCCATTTTAAAATTAGGTTATTGGTTTTTTTCTTCTTGCCTCTCTATAGCTCCCATTTACCTCCTCGACACCTTGGGCTTTTCTGAGTGGCCACCATCGTTTTTGGAGAACTGAATTGTGAGCTAGTGATGCAGTTTAGGCTGGCTGTTTGGACTGGAAAGCTCCATTTAGGCTCTGCTTGGGAGAGCTGAAGATTATCTGCTGAGAAAAATCTCAACCCAGATGGTCACTACAGTTCACTGGAGCTGGACTAGTTCCTTGTTACAAACGCAGAACACTTCTGCAAATTCAAGTTCATCAGGGAGCCCAAACCTAAGGGAGAACGCGAATGGAAGAGAAATCCCACTTGGAATTCAAATCCTAAGAATGGGTTGTCACTGCAGTTATATTCCTTGAGGTTTGCTGATGGGGCTAGTCCTGGGTTATGGTGCTTTATATACACGATCTTAATTATGATACTAGCCCTGCAAGTTGGATGCCATCCTTTTCATTTGCTGATGGGAAACGGAATCTGAGTGAAGTGAAAGAGTCTAAGGCCACGAAGCTGGTCTGGAGCAGGCACCTGGAGCCAGCCTGACTCCAGACTGTGTTCAGCTGGGAATCGGTGTCCAGTGCTTGCTCAGCCACTTGCCAAGTGTGTGATCTTGGGCAAGCCACTTGACCTCTCTGTGCCCCAGTCTCTTTATCTGTAAGATGGGGATAAGACCTGTAGGCTTGTTCTGAGAGCATCTAAATTAGATCACATGTTTAAAGCCCCATGCATTTTTTATTATTTTGCTACTGACCAAACTGACAACTAAACATCTCCCTTTAACCTGCATCCGTATTTATTTTGGATGGATATCTTTACCCATCCAAATCTCAAAGCGGATTTTAATCTCAGTGCTGCTCTCAACTGCATTCGCTCTTTTCTCATCTGGACCCTCTCTCTATCCCCTGGCTGTGTGTCCAGGTTCACCTCCCTTTCTCTGTGTCCCAAAAGTAGACATCACTTGTCATCTCTAGAAGAAAATAGATTCCATTTTTTTCCACTGGCAGAGGTGTTTGAACCAGAGTGAGTCCAACTTGTATAGGGGCTGGGTAAAATGAGGCTGAGAGCTGCTGGGCTGCATTCGCAGGAGTTTAAGGCGTTCTTAGTCACAGGATGTGATGAAATAGAATGCAATAATGAAGCTGGCCAAAACCCACCAAAACCAAGATGACAGTGAAAGAGATCTCTGGTTGTCCTCCCTGTTCATTATACATTAGTTATAATCCATTGGCATGCTAAGAGACATTCCCACCAGTGCCATGACAGTCTACAAATGCCATGGCAACGTCTGGAAGTTTCCCTATATGGTCTAAAGAGGGGAGGGACCCTCAGTTCCAGAAATCCCTGCCGTATTTCCTGGAAAACTCATGAATAATTCACCCCTTGTTTAGCACATGATCAAGAAATAACTCTAAGTATACTGAGAGTCTGGCAGCCCTGTGGCCACTCTGCCTATGGAGTAGCCATTCTTTATTCCTTTACTTTCTTTTTTTTTTTTGAGACGGAGTCTCGCTCTTGTTACCCAGGCTGGAGTGCAATGGCGCAATCTTGGCTCACCGCAACCTCCGTCTCCTGGGTTCAGGCAATTCTCCTGCCTCAGCCTCCTGAGTTGCTGGGATTACAGGCACGTGCCACCATGCCCAGCTAATTTTTTGTATTTTTGGTAGAGACGGGGTTTCACCATGTTGACCAGGATGGTCTCGATCTCTTGACCTCGTGATCCACCCGCCTTGGCCTCCCAAAGTGCTGGGATTACGGGCTTGAGCCACCGTGCCCGGCCTCCTTTACTTTCTTAATAAATGGCTTTCACTTTACTCTATAGACTTGCCCACAATTATTTCTTGCATGAGGTCCAGAGCCCTCCCTTGGGGTCTTAATCAGGACCCTTTCTAGTAACGTCACCAACATGCCTTGCCATGTGCAGCTCATTTTCCCACCTTGTCTGCTGGTGAACTCTCACTGGCCTTCAAAGCCCATACTGAATGTCACTGGCATCGCTTCCTCTGGGAAGCCCTGACTCCCAGGAACGTAACTGTCTTCCCCCACCCCCGCTGCCACTGTGCCTCGTCCCAGCTGTCATTCTGGGCTGTGATTGTTTTCTGAATATCCAACTCCTTTGCCAGACTCCAAGCTCCCAAGGAGCTGGAATGGCCTTAATTGTCTCAAATCCCCCACCCTTGGCATAGAATTAGCAAAGAGAGGCCCCAAAGACATGCTGTGGGCTGAATGAACTCATCTCCATCTCATGAACTCTGACCTAAGTCCTCGGAGACATCAACCGAGCCTCCAGGGCTGGGCTTGCTGTCCCCCTGCCCATTCCCCAGAACTCTGCACACCATTTCCCTGTATCACACTGCTCTGGGAGCCCTGGCACTTCCCCTGATTGAGGTGTGGAGTGTAGAGGGTAGAAAAGAAGGTGTATCTTCCACCTTAGCTGACTTCATTCCTCCAAATTCCTGTTCTAGAAGTGCATTTTTCAGGCTCGAGAGCTGTAGACCATAGAAAATCGACCGCGGAGTTCCACGTGGCAGGTTTCTCTGTGATTCGTTCAAGGGGCATTGAGTCCATCGACCTGAATCAGCTTCTGCTCTTTTCGTGATTTCGCTGTCTGCCTGGCTGGCAGGCTGCGCTTCTCCCAAATCCCAAGTCCCCAGGACAGATAGCCAGGCCCAGGGAGCTGAGGCCTGCTCCTTTTCCTCTCTCCATCCACAGCCTCCGGGAAGAAGTTGGCCATGGAAAGAGATTCCCTCCGTGACTGCTGTCTGATTGGCTGGCATTGCAGGGTGGTCATAACTAATGTGGCTGTGCTTTCTAATGCTCAGTGGCCTGGCACACGAGGTTCTGTGAAATAGACCACAGGCTATAAGAAAGCAGACCTTGTGGCAAAATTCCAGGTGCCTGGGTTGCAGGGCAGAAGAGCCTTGGGGGTGGGAGGAGGTCGAGTGATGTTATAGCTCAGGACAGGGAGAAAGAGAACTCAGCTGCCTCTGTCCCATCTTCTCCCTCTTTCCTGGCTGCCAATTGTATCTTCCTAAAGGGAAGCTCTGTGGATCCTCCCCTGCTCAGAAACCCTCACTGGCTCCTACCACTCACACATGCTCATGAGCTTTAGGCTGGCATTAAGGTTTCCGTGGCTGGTGCATTCAGTACTCCTGTCACGTGTACCTACTTTGCATTTATAAATTGTGCATCTCTCTCTCTTTTCCCCACTTTGCAAAGGGAAGTGTGGGTTGTAATGTAACTTTCCTTGAGCACTAACCAATCACTGAATACGGCACCACATAGTTTATGTCAGTTTCTGTATCTAATATGCCCAAGAAGTCTGCAGAGCACATAGTATTTTTCCCATTTCAGTGAGAAAATTGAAGCTTAGAGAAGTTGCCCATGGTTGTAGCACAGGAAAATTGTGGAGCTGGGATTTGGGCTCAGATCTGTCTGGCTGCTTGACTTATGTTCTTTTCATTGAAGCAGAATTTCCCTTGAGGACAGGGGCTGTTGTCCACTCTCCTCATGATGTAGGTGGGAGTGGATACAAAACTAGGAAGACACCAGTCCCTGTCCTCTAAGCTGACCTTTATCACTAGCCAGATGGGTCTTTTGAAAAGGCAAGTCAGATCCTATTCCCCACCCCCACCCCACCTTTGTTGAGAATGCTCCAGTGACTTCCCATTGCACTTAGAATAAAGAGAAGGTCCTCACACCCAACCCCAACCCCCAATGCCCTAGAGAATCTGGCCTCTGGTGACCTGTTGACCTCATAACATCCTGCTCCCCAGCACACTCCCCTGTAGCCACTCTGACCTCTCCATTCTGCTTTTTTTTTTTTTTTTTTTTTTAGACTGAGTATCACTCTGTTGCCCAGGCTGGAGTGCAGTGGCACAACCTTGGCTCACTGCAACCTCTGCCTTCCAGGTTCAAGCAATTCTCCTGCCTCAGCCTCCTGAACTGGGACTACAGGTGCCCACCACCACGCTTGGCTAATTTTTGTATTTTTAGTAGAGATGGGGTTTTGCCATGTTGGCGGGCTGGTCTCGAACTCCTGACCTCAGGTGATCCACCTGCCTCAGCCTCCCAAAGGCTCACACCTGGGATTACTCTCCATTCTTAAAACACACATCTCTTTGCACATGCTGTTCTCTCCTCCTGGAATGCTGTTCCCCCAACTCTCAATCTTTCAAACTTTCCTTTAAATGTCACCTCTTCTGAGGCCTTCCCTAAAGTAGCTTCCCCACCTCCCTGTGTGTTTCCTTCACAGTACTTATTGCTGTTGTCATCCTTCTTTCTTTCTTTTTTTGACGGAGCCTCACTCTGTCATCAGGCTGGAGTGCAGTGTTGCGACCTCAGCTCACCGCAACCTCCGCCTCCGGGGTTCAAGCGATTCTCCTGCCTTGGCCTCCCAAGTAGCTGGTATTACAGGCATGTGCCATCACGTCCAGTGAATTTTTGTATTTTTAGTAGAGATGGGGTTTCACCATGTTGGCCAGGATGGTCTCAATCTCCTGACCTCACGATCTGCCCGCCTCAATCTCCCAAAGTGCTGGGATTACAGGCATGAGCCACTATGCCCAGCCTCCTTTTCTTGTTTCTCTCCCAACTGGAACTTCCCTTGAAGGCAGTCCAGTCTGTCTCATTAATTTTTATCACCCAATGCCAGCACCATGCCAGCAGGCTCTTAGTGAATAGTTGTTGAATATGTGTATGGCTATGTTTTCCACAAGAAGGGCAGGGACCCTTCTGTCCCACAGTATCTGGCCCCTGGTGTGCTCAGCAAATCTTTGTTGAATGGATGGATGGGTGAATGAATGGATAGATGGACGTGTGCACATATGAAAGATCATGTTGATCACAAAAGAGTTCTGAGTTATGTTTTATGTCAATGGGCACATACTCCAGCGGTGTCTGAGGCCTCCAAGCCTGATGACTCTCATCTTGTTCACAGAAGCCTGGAGATACCTGCAGAGAGACTAAGGGTGCTTGAAAGATGGAGGTTACCTACCTTTGAGCTGCTTGGGTGCATTTCCCTTTTTAGCCACAAGGTGGCAGCCTGCCATGGCCGCCAAGGCACCGCCTCCCGTAAGGAGCAACAGTTAATGTTTAATAATTGCTCCCCAGTGCTTCCCATGCCTCGCATTCCCTGGGGAATCTAACTGCTTTGTTACCCCGTGTTTGTTCTGTTGACTATAAAGATTATGATTCAGCCTTTCCTAATCTAGAAAGTGCTTCATAACATGATCCAAAAGCGCAGGGAGCCTAGTTAATATGTTCACCAGGTCGACAAGTCTTGACAGAGCGCCTGCCGCGTGCCAGGCACTGTGCTGTGAGCTGCTTGGGATACATCAGTGAACTACACAGGTGAAGATTCATTTTCTTGTGGCACTCACATTCTAGCAGGGAAGTCAGGCAATAAGCAACAAATATACCTAAGGAAACTGAACAGCCTGTTAGAAGGTGATGAACATAATACCGCTATGAACGCAAGAAACACGATGCAGAGATAAGGGGGACGGGGCGGCTGGGGTGGGGACAATAGGAGGCAGCTTAAAATAGGGTGGGAGGTCTTCAGGGAAGGTGACATTTGAGTAACGACTAGGAGGAGGTAAGGGAGGGAGCCCGTGCAGGTGCCTGGGGGAAGAGCCTTCCAGAAGGCAGGAGCAGTCAGTGCAAAGGCTCAAAGGTGGGAGTGTGGCTGGCAGGTCTGAGGAAGGAAAAGGAGGTCAATGTGGCTGGAGTGGAGTGAGAAAAGGAAAGAGAAGCAGGACATGTGGGGACAGAGAGGCACCAGGACACCAGGGCACGTGGAGCGTTGCAGGGATCATGGGAGCATTGGCTTTGACTCAGGGAATGGGAGCGAGAGGAGCAGGATGACCCAACTTCTGTTTTGGGGAGCTGGCTCTGTCTAGAAGGATAGATGCCAGCTCTCCTGGGCATGGGCTTGGATCGTAGTCTTCTACCCCCTACCACTCTGAGTGGGTCCTGTGACTTGCCTGGCCATTGAAATGTGAAGAGAAGCAAAGTTCTTCCCCTTCAGGCAGGAGGACCCGATGGGCAACTTTGCCTCTATTTTGCACCTGGCAGTGCTCCAGATGGTGTCAGTCTGGGTCCTGTAGGGACAATG